AAGAGCCCTGCGGGGCAGGACTGTGCTGTGCAGCTCGTGCTGAGGAGGGTGAACTGAGACCTGGAGAATTGGTGAAGAGGGGGTCATGGTTACAGCAGAGAGCTTAATAAAGACTCTGGATGCTTTGGCTGGTCCTGAACAACTCCCTTATCTTCTCCCTTCACACCTGGGAGGGCAGCAGCAAAGCTTTTGCACTTGTCCATCAAATCATGTAACTTCTCTCTGTACAGGTTACAGTCCCAAGAAGGGGGAACGCGCTGCTCGCAGCCTCCCAGCATGGCAGCCCAGAAGCGCCTCGCCTTCTCCATCATCCAGTTTCTACATGACCAGCTACAGAACGGGGGTCTGTCTCCAGATGCTCAGGAGAGTTTGGAAGGTTGGTGCTTGTCTGCTCTGCCCTGTTTGTGTCTCTCAGTCTGTCAGCCCAACGTTCAGGGGAGTTTGGATGCTCTGTTACTCTCCTCTGCCTCTTACTGGGCTGGGCTGTCCTGACATCAACCCTTACTCGAGATTTGAAGTTAATTTCTCTCCTTGGGGAGGTACCCAGGGTGTTGGGGATGCTCATTGCTCATTGATATCTCTTAAAAGCAGATGAGTTTGAGGAAGGGATGTACCTGGGATCAAAAGCCTCCCTGAGCTTGGGTTTGTAAATTAAAGGTTTTATCTTAAATGATAAATAAGACCTGGAGCAGAGTCAGGAGCTCGTGGTGTGAAGTGAGAACTCTGTTGTTGCACGGAAATGTTTCATCCCTGTGGATGCTTTTCCCCTTCTGCTCTCAAAACACTTTTCCTCAGCACAGCCTGGAGTATTGATCCAGGCTTTTTCAGAGAGCTCTGCTGGCAGTGAGAGCTCACTGACCTGAAAAGATCCACTTAAGGAGCTTATGCTTCAGTCTTTGGCCTGTGTGTTTGTCCCACTGAAAGAGAGCGCAGCAGGTCTGCGGGGCGGTGGGCACGAGGGGAGGGTGTTGGGTGGAAGGAGGAGTTTATTCCCTTTGGATTGTGAAATACAGCACAAGAGCTCTGTCCAAATGAGCTCAGTTCTGTTCCTGGGGTTCCCTCTGTGCTGGGAACAGCTTCCTGATGAGGGAGGGGATGGTTGGTTGGTGTCTGTGTCTCTCTGCCTGGCCACAGCATTTCACAGAGCAGCCAGCCACCCTCTGGCAAGTGAAACACAGAGATCTCTCCCTGCTCTGTGCCCCCCACAGCTGAGGGAATGTTGGCAAAGCCCCAGTTTGATTCACCTCTACCCCCAGTACCTGCTCTGGAGTCACCTGAGGGGCTGGGAGTTGTGACCAACTCAATTCAGGAGCTTGATTTCCACTGAGGTTTTGGCAAAACTTGATGATGTGGCCCAAATATCAAGTCTGGTGTGTGGAAACGTGTGGTTTGGGTTTTCTTTCTTTACCTTGTTTGCTCAACAGTGAGAAATTCAGGTGCTGTGGGAGAGGGATGAGTGTTCAGGTGGAACAGGGGAAGCTAATTACCTGACTCTTCTTGTCCAGTGGCCATCCAGTGCCTGGAGACAGCATTTGGGGTCTCAATGGAAGACCAAGGCTTAGCTGTGTCCCAGACTCTCCCTGAAATATTTGAAGCTGCTGTAGGAAAGGTGAGTGAATGCCCTGAAATACCTGCTGAGCTTCCACTGAAGCAGCCAGAGCGACGAGCTCTGCTTGATTTCAGTGGTGATGCTGCCTGCTCAGAGGTGTGTGGGAGTGAAATGTTTTGGGCTTGGGGAGGGGGAGGTGTGTTACATCTCGGTGGGAGTCCTTATCATGGTGTTCTCCCTTTCCTTGTCAGGAGCCTGAACACCTCAGAACAAATTCAGAGCCCTTCACCCCCTCTGAAGATGACATAGCTGAAGCTGAAAGACTCAAGACTGAAGGTGACCTCTGGAGCTGGGCTGTAGTGAGGTTTAGGTGGGAATGGGGAGGGAGGTTTAATTCACTCAGCACCTGGGGAATGATTGGAATGGGGGTGGGGGTGGAGGAAGCAAAATGGGACCAAGCCTTCCATTTCTGCTCGTTTCTTTGCTGGTGCTCCAGCTGTGTGTGTAGTTGGCATCATGTGGCTGCCCCAGAGCCTGGGTGGACGCTGGGTCAGGGTTCTCTTTTGCATCCCAAGAAGCCTGTGCTGTGCAGAGCAGGACATCTTCCCTGCTGAGCTCTCCTCTGCCTGTTGCCTTTGCCATGCCAGAGGGTGTGGTTAGTGCTGCAGTACAGTGGAGGGGTTCTCTGGGCTGCTTTGGGGAGCCTCAGGTGTGCCCCAGGTGGGAGGATGGCTCAGGGTCTCTAGGGACTCACGGGATCTGACAGCCTGGAGTTACCAGGACACAGGTCCCCTGTCTCACTGGTGAATGTGCCTCATGCTTGTGAGCAGTTTGACCAGCAGAAGTTACAACTGGTTCTGTTTTCTGAAGCAGAAGGTGGGTCCAGGCCCTTTGCTTTTGTTTGTCCACATTTTTCACTTGTTAATGAGCCTTTTGCTCTCTTTGTAGGAAATGAACAAATGAAGGCAGAAAACTTTGAAGCTGCTGTGTCTTTCTATGGAAAAGCCATTGAATTAAATCCATCCAATGCTGTGTATTTCTGCAACAGGTACTGATTAGCTTCACTGTCTCTCATTATCTTTCACTGTGAGGGTGGTCAGACAGTGTCCCAGGTTGGCCAGAGAAGCTGTGGCTGCTCCTCCCTGGAAGTGTTCTCGGCCAGGCTGGATGAGGCTTTGAGCAACCTGGTCTAGTGGAAGGTGTCCCTGCTGCTGGCAGGGGGGGTGGGACTGGATGAGCTTTAAGGTCCCTTCCAGCCCAAACCAGTCTGGGATTCTCCACCCATGTACACCTGTATTTTGTTTTTACTGCTTGAATTCTCAAAAATCCCTTTTTTTAGGGTTCTGTCAACTGCTTGTTCTGTTATTTGCTCTTTGGGTGGTTGGGGTTTTTTTTTTAAGCTTGTAGTGACACACTTTCCTGTGCCTCCTGCCAGCTCTGTGCCCTGGCATCTCTAGATAGGGTGTGGGCGTGGAAACAAACTCTTGTTAGGCATTTGAGGAGATATCAGGATGCCAAGAAAAGCTGTTTGCTTTCATGCAGTTAACTCCTAGTGGGATAGAGAGCCCAGGTTTAAGAGGCTGCATTGATAATAAAACCCAAGGAGTGAAATGAAACAAGTTAAAGGCTCGTTATTGAGAATTCTAGAAGTTGATGTGTGTGCAAAATGAGTGTGCAAACTTCCTGGTTTTCAGCTCTAAAAAAAAGAGTTTGAAAGTTTGTAAGTTTGTAGGAAGACAGTTGTTGAATAAAACAGACTTTGAATCAGGATTTGGTTTTAGTTCTGTGCTTGTTGTGAGGACACAGGTACAGCTGGCTGCGTGAGTAACGTGTCCACACACGTGCTAGTGATGTGCTGAGGTATTTCTTGGGGCAAGATACTCCAGCTGGTGCTTTTAGCTTTGCTGTAGCTGCAGGAGGGTCAGACCTGTGAGGTTTTGGGCAGGTGCCCTCCAGTAAGAGTTGTGAAATGTTATGGCTTCAAAAACAGTTTTTCCCTCTTCTTGTGGAGTGTGGGGCGGGGGGGGAAATGGGTGGAACAGTCACTATGAGTAAGAAATTGAGGCATCAGGGAAGCTGAGATTGTCTCAGCTGGCAAGTGTGATACTCCTGTGCCTCCCCAGAGCCTGGGCTCCTCTTGGCCAGTCCATAAGCAGGTGTAAGAGCCCAGATGTATTTGCAGCAGGAGCAAAACGTGGAGCTGGGTGTTTGGAGAGCAGCCTGCTCACCTAGATAGGGCCTGGATTTGTGTCAAGCTCACACTTGACTTTGCCTCGTACAACAGGAGACTACAGAGAGGGAACAGGGGTGACCTTGATCACTATATTCAAGCTGATAAGTCTTTTCTGCACATCTTTCTCCATTCCCTCCAGAGCTGCTGCATACAGTAAACTAGGAAATTATGCTGGAGCAGTGAGAGACTGTGAAAGAGCTATAGGCATTGATCCCAACTACAGCAAAGCTTATGGCAGAATGGGGTAAGTAAGAGCAGGGGGGGGGTTTTTTGTGCTAGAGTTTTAATTTCAGAACACCTTGTGGCAGTGATGCTGTCAGTGGTGTTCTGCCCTGGAATACCATGGAAAAATACCTGGTGTTTCACCTCTGGGGGTGGAGGAAGACTGCAAGTGCTTATCTAACTTTGTGACTTTACAATTTTGTTTCTACTTCAATAGCTTGGCCCTCTCCAGTTTAAATAAACACACAGAAGCTGTTGTTTACTACAAAAAAGCCCTGGAGCTGGATCCAGACAATGACACGTACAAATCAAACCTTAAAATAGCTGAACAGAAAATGAAGGAGACTCCTAGTCCGGTGAGTTCTGAAACTGAGGCTGTTGTTACGTGTGGGTGAGGTTGGGAGGAGGTTTCTTCACTGCAAGTGCTAACAGGCGCTGTCTGGCAGAACCTTGATGACCTGGGTTGTGTTTAGAACACAATTCTTGTGTGCAGACAGAGAGGAAAGGGTTAACCAGGCTGGCTGTGAACATTTCCACTAAAATCCAGAGAGAGTAACTTCACTCCTTGAGCACAGTCACCTTGGGCTTATTTGAAAGAGCTGGAAAATGAGAGTGATGAGAAAGGAGTGTTTTGAAACAGCAATTTTGCCTTAAGCACCTTTCTTAATTAAAGTCAGTGCTCCTAAAATCCAGCTCTTTTTTCTAGTGACCTGTTGGCAATTCCAAAAGGACATTTTATGTGGCTCTTTTTTTTCTTACAAAGGTTTTTTTCCTTAAGAAACCTGGAGGTTTCCTCACCAGAAAGCTGCACTGCAGTGCTGACATGCCCTGTGCAGGAACGTGCTAGTTTATCATTTTGAAGGGAGTTTTCATTTTCTAAAGCCTTTTCCAGTGCAAAGGTGACCAAGTGGGTGTGTTTAATTTGACAGTTGCCCTGGGTTACAGCTGTACATCACTGTTGTGGCTCAGCTGGTGAGAGAGGGGAGCAGTAATGGGTTTAAGCTGAAAGAGGGGAGGTTTAGATGAGATATTAGGAAGAAGCTCTTCACTGTGAGGGTGGTCAGACACTGGAACAGATTGCCCAAGGAAGTTGTGGCTGCTCCTCCCTGGAAGTGTTCAAGGCCAGGCTGGACGAGGCTTTGAGCAACCTGGTCTAGTGGAAGGTGTCCCTGCTGCTGGCAGGGGGTTGGGACTGGATGAGCTTTAAGGTCCCTTCCAACCCAAACCAGTCTGGGATTCTGTGATCTGCCCTTGGACTCCCTCCCTCAGTGAGCCTAAACCCTGAGCTGTCTGTGACTCAGAGCTTCACACAAAGGATGTGGATGGAGCCTCTTCCCTTTGTCATGGTTTAAGGGGCAGATTCTGATAATAATGGGAGTAAAGTGTTGGTGTTCACTGTAACCTGCATCAGGAAGTGAGAGGGTGTTGTCATCATCTGCTTGTGGTTTCTTTATTCTTCCAGACTGGAGGTCCAGGAGGATTCGATTTAGCTGGCTTGCTGAACAACCCTGGCTTCATGAGCATGGTAAATCTGAACACAGATCTCAGCCAGGCTGGGTCTGCTCTGTGTGTTGGGCTGTTCAGGATGAAACGTATCACTGTGTGGTGTGGGCAGCTCCTGTGTTGCTTTGGCAGATTTGTTTTCATTTCACTTCTTGGTTTCAGTGTTGCTGTGAGGAAACTGTGCTTGTATTTCATTAAAGTCAAATGAAAAGCCAGTGACTTGTTCACAGGCTTCTTGTGATCTGCTGGCTGTGGGAAGGGCGCCTGTTCTCCATCACCAGCCTTGTCTTGCGTGTTGCTCTGTGCTTCTCTCAGCTATTTTTGTCCTATTCATCTGTTTCCAAGGATTTCTGCCTTCACTTTGTTTGTAGTTGAATGGCACAACATCTGCACATCCACCCAGTCATTTCTGACTAAATAGGGTGTCTTTTTTTTTTCTCTCCCCTCTTTAAATAGGCATCAAACCTCATGAACAATCCCCAAGTACAACAGCTGTAAGTTTGATCCTGTCTTGTATTTCCTTTTGGAATCACTTATCTGGGGCTCTGGGTGTGTTTGGCATTTGCAGCAGGTCTGAACTGGTGGGTGAGGGAGGGTGCTTGGGATTTTAAACCAGTCCAGTTGCCTGAGCTTGTGTGTATTTTGAGTTCTCTGGACTGTGCTGAAGAGGGATCTTGGTGTAAACATTTAGGGAAGGGAGGCAGGGTAGGTTGTGGAGCTGGAATTGGATTTGGGAAGCTTGGGATCAGTTTGGCTCTGCTGCACAGTGTGTGTGTGATCCAGAGTCAGGATTTCACATCTCAATCAGAATGAGAATATTTCTTTTTTTCTTTTTTTCCTGCTACAGGGTTATAAGGATCAAATCACAATGTTTGTGAGATCTTTAGATAATATAAAGCTATAAAAGTAGTCAGGTACATGCCTCTCCTGACCACCCTTTCAGAGCACAGGTAGGCAGTGAGTTAGAGACCTTCTGGAGCTCAACCTTTGGTTACTGTGTGAGACAATTTGGCTGCAGGGCTGAATATCAGCCACCACTTCCATTTCCTTCTCCCTGCTCCTGCTGCCAGCTGAGCTTCTGCACCAGATGCAGCCTGAGAACTTCCAGAGGAAGGGGCTGTGTGTTCTGGGCTGCTCACCATGAGTGAGGCTGTGCTTAGGCTGACCTGTCAGTAGATCTCTCTTGATGCAGAGCAAGCAAATAGTTTGTGTGAGGAAAGACAGTGTTTTAGTTAAATAAACATCACACAAAAGGGGGAATCTCTGGGAATACAGTAACTGACACTGGCATCAATATTTCTACATATTGAGCAGTTTAATACAGTTATTTTTCTGCAGTTAATGAATGAAAAGTTGTTGTAGAAGATTCTGTTGCAGGTAGTTTCATAACCCGTGTGGGAAGGTGCTCCTGTTACCCTGACACTTCCCTCCCAGTGTAAACCAAACCATTTCTGTGGTGTCTTGGTTTGTTTCCTGCTCTGAGCAATGACTCCTGTTTCCACAGCATGTCTGGGATGATTTCTGGTGGCCACAGCACCATGGGAGCAGCAGGAACCAGCCCCTCCACGAATGATCTCGCCAGCCTCATCCAAGCGTGAGTGGGGAGCTGGGTCTTTCCCATTAACTTTGGATTTTCAGTGGGGAAATTGAAAATTCAGGGGGGGAAATCGAGAATTCAGTTTCCTTGGGAAATCAATACATGGATTTGGGGTCTTTTTACTGATCAGAAGTAGAACTTTGACAGTTGAGGAAGGCTTGAATGTTGGGTGGAGCACTGCCTCTTGGTGGTGTGAGCTACTTGTTAGAGTGGAGTTTTGCCAGTTGGCTGTAGAGAATTTCCCAGCACCACTGTGTGTGTG